AACATAAACTGTTATGAAGAAAAAGAAAACAATGTTGTAAACTCATTATAGAAATAATAGTTTATTATTAATAATTTTCCCAATATATTGATTGATTGATTGATTGATTGATCGATTAACATTAGCCTATCGAAAGTCAGTATAAATGAAAGTAAGAATAACAAGGTCATTTCACCATTTATATAAATTTTGATCTAAATCATATACATACATATATCTTCTATATAATGAAACTTTAATCCATAGTATTTTTGTAAGCAGTGATGGATAGTGGCTAGCAATGGAATCCAGGTCGCGCGTTTCGTCCTATTTGGGACTCGTCAGCTGGATGTACCTGTATCACAGAGTTGATGTTCACTCTGGGATTCGAACCCAGTTCCATTCGCTTTAAACATTATCGCGTTATCCACTCAGTCACTGAATTCTGATAGCCACTTGCTTGTGCAATGGTGTGAATTTCAATTCACTTGATATTGTTCGGTTTGTATCTTCCCATTGAGGTTTAAGACTGCAATTGATCAGTCTGTTATTGGCATATGTGCATACTGTGCGTATTGCCTCGATACTGCCTTAATTCACAAGCTTCTTGTAAGCAATGATGGATAGTGGCTAGCAGTGGAATCCAGGTCGCGCGTTTCGTACAGCAGTATTGGCTTTCAGTCTTAAACCTCAATGTGAAGATACAAGCCAAACAATACAAAGTGAATTTAATCCATAGTATTCTATATTTACATTTTTTTATCAATACAGAATATAAAAACATTCTATGTGAACCTTATTTATTCTGAATTATTAATAAGATATGCTTCTTATACTTGGTAAATTATATTAATCAACCTTCAAAATCCATAAATTCTTCATTTAGGTTAACTACATTCAATTCTTCAAATCAAGTCTCTCTGAAAATAATATTGAACACGAATAGTAACTTTTTGTTTTTGTTGCTGCTGTTGTTACCGTCGTTATTGTTGTTGTTGTTGTTGCTGGTTGTGGGGGTAGGCGTAGTCGTAATGGTGGTGTTGATTGAAATGGCATTTGAATTAGTATAAAAATTGTAAAGTAATTTCTACATAACTTTTTAGGTCATAAAAATGTTCTATTTATCTGTGTAATAATGTGTACATATACATATATACATAGTTAATAATAATATGTATATAACAATATCCTTAAGCAAGTTTACATTAAATCATATTCGTATAAATGTTAACTGTATAAATGAATAAATTTAATAGAAAAAGAGAATCAACATTCCCTGGAGAGTTGATGGTACAGTTAAATGAAATAATAATTGATAAATAATGGCTAACATTAGAATCTAGGATTCGTGTTTCATTCTATTTGGGACTCGTCAGTTGAATGTAACTGCATCCTAGAGTTGGTGTTTACTCCCAGGAATTGAATCCAGTACCGTTTACTTGTAAAGCTTGTAAATTAAGGCTATATTAAGACAGTTCGCATAGGATGTTAACAAGAGACTGATCAATTGCAGCCCTAAACAACAATGGGAAGATCATTGGTAAGGCTATTTAATGTTTGGGATAATAATGTTACAGCGGAAGGTAATATAGAAAGAATCTTTGATTTTATGTGAGAAAAGTGTTCTGAATTCACCTGCATCCTTGTATGACTATCTTCAATGAGACATAGAGATAATGTCTACCATTTCAAATGTCGAAACTTCATCTAGCAAAATATTATTTCACAATAGGTATTTAACAAAGTATGATAGTACAATGTTTCTAAGAGTCCACATTTTCCCATTATTGATATTCTGAACAGAACTGATCAGCTTTCGTTAGTTTCTTAGCACAGTGAAAAGATACTTTGGTATTTTCTGAATTCATATATTGCTATGTGCCCAGTTGTCAATGATCATTGACCTGACAAGTAACACGCTGATGTTTTTACTGTTTTCGAGCGTATGCTTCACGAAGAGTAAGAGGCCTAAATAAATAAGTAAGCAAATTACTTTCGAGTACATTTAGGTTACTAAAATTAGTAAATGGTGCAAATTTATACTTTAAACCAATTACGTCAATACAAGTTAATGAGAATAATACTAAAGTAACAGATATGGTTGAATGCACAATTTGGTCAATAATTTGAAAATTAAACAGTAACTCGATGATTATCAGAAGACGAAACCAATGGTCAACTAGTCGAATATACAATAGATAATTAAATCTGTTATTTTTATTGAACAAATATGGTATAGCTTAATCACTCATAAGACAATAAATATCTTATCAGTATAGGGTTGTGGATATTGTTGAGTTTAGACTGATATTGTAGACCATCAACGTTGATGATCTACATCGAACGCTTGGGGGTCTACTTGAGTCGGACGGGAATGGTGTGACCAATAGCTAACATCGAAGTCACACCTCGAGTTCAGTACCTAACGTGGATTACCCCTTCGTCGTATCGAGGTACTATAGGTGCTTTGAAAACCGTAAAACACAAGGGACGTTATTATGGAAATATATTAGCAAGAATGAGTACAGAGAAGATAATGAGACCACCACCACAAGGGATCGATGATCTGCTCGATATTCAGTCACCCAACTGCCGGATGATTTGGCTAGGGCTCAGTAACATTTCACTGGCCCTACAATATTATGAATGAATCAATTTAGACCACCACTGAAAACCTGATAACACTGAATGGCCGTTCCGTCCTAATATGAGACTCCTCTTCAGTGTGTATCCACGATCTCGCACGCGGAATCACGGGTGGAAATTAAAACTACTATAGTCCTAAAGAGATTCCATTTTTTTACACTGAATAAAAACCAAAGGGCTAAGCTTTGAAGTTACATAAAAATTATGACTTCAATACATTATAATTCGTCTTTGTGTTCATTTTTTTATATTTAAACCTAACTACTATTTTTTTATTTTAAGAAAAGTCAATTTTCCGTTTGTTTGTTTTTTCTTAATTAATTCTCATTTACGTAATGTGGTATTAAGCCACCATATTGAAAAAATAGATTTGTTTTCTAATCTAACTTTTTTATATTCTCTATTAACTTAAGTAGATAAATAAAAGTAGCCCAGTCGATCACCAGAAGAAAGTGGAAGGAGGAAAGTAAGCGACCTTGTCTGACTTCGGTCCTTTCATGGAATGTATCTGTCAGTTGTCCTCCATGCACCACTTCACACTGTAATCCGTCAAAGTAGTAGTAGTAGTAGTAGTAGTAGTAGTAGTAGTAGCATTCGGTTTTCCTTATGATTTACTGTTTTTGTCTTTTAGTAAAACTTTTATGGGATTTCAGAATGTTTATTTGGTCCATTCTAAAGTGTTTTCTAACAACTTTTCCTCTGGTTTTGGTTGTTTTTTTTTTACCTTATCGTGGTATCTACTTTGGGCACTTATCAATCTCAAATGGTTTCTTTATAGTACCTTGAATTTGTTGAGTTTGATATGATTTTTAACTGGAAACATCATAGTTGGATGTTATTAACTGTTATAAGGTTGTATATTTGCATTTACAGTATTACTTTTTATTAACCTTGAATACATTCCCACTGCCTTTTGGATTTATTTAGGTTGAATATTGAGTCAATTACGAAGTTTTAGAATCCAGAGCCAATTGTATTATTTGTATTTTGCGAAAGGGATAAAAAAGAGTGAACTTGATAACAAGTATAAAACACATTTCCATTACTTCTTAGTTTCTAATACTTATCTAAGAACATTTTGTAAAATGAAAAATCTAAATCTTTTTAATAAGATAAATGTATATTATATAAAATCTAAGTTAAATTAAGTCCAATAATGGTTAACATAGAAGAATGTAAAAAATGAATATTATCATATACATAAATCAATTCGATTTTCTATATCAGTTCCCTTTCCCCACCCTCTCTCTCTCTCAACCTCTCACTCTCTCTCAACCCCCCCCCTCTCTCTCTCTCTTAGAAAATAATTAACCTGTACAATATAATTCGATGAATTCATCAATAGGTTCACATCCATGTCAAAAAAATATGTTAGAGTGATCCAGTAACTAACTAAATTACCTTGTATATTACCATTCGTTTATTTATCACTTGGATCATACTAAACAGAAACGTATATTGCAAAAGATAATCATAATGGATAAAGATGTGTAATCTCATTTTTGGATATATATATATAAGAATACATAGTACAAGATCATGTTATTTATTGAACGAATTATGAACTATTGTTAACAAACAATCTAATGTAAATGCATTTTGTTATTTACTTTGATAGTTAATCATTGAATATCATCATTGGAAGAAGTTAGATATTCATGTGAGATTCGTAAAACTTATCACTATCTCATAATTAGAAAAATGCTTAATTTGCAAAATGTCCACTATTTCCACCAAAATAACTCACAATTCATTGTTCTTGCATTTTCATACAAATTGCATACTGTTTCCATTCTTTACTGTTCGATCCTCTTGGTTCTTTGCTCTCAGACCTTTTATTCATGACTAACATCATATACTACTTATGTCAATATAATTAGCACATACCACAATGCTACTAAAATAAACCCGGTAATAGATTGAATAATTCAATGGCGAATTCTTCAACTATGATATAAGACGATATAAATTAGAGTTTGACTGGATCATCATAAAATATGAGTCCATAGTTCTGTAATAATTATGTCCAACTAGATACTACTAAACTCAGTGGATTGAAATATCATGTACCAATGAAATGTGGGAATTCTTTTATTTAATTTATCCAATATTCTCATCCTGCCCCATAAAATTCATAACATTTATACATCTAACATTCATATATCTATGCTTTTGCCTTCCATAACATTAGGTGAATACAAGTTAAAGTATTAAGTTACCGTGTTATTTACAATTTCACAATCATGACACAGTATAAAGTCTTGAATTATGCTTTCCTTCAGTTAGTGGAGAATATATGAAGTTTGTATAGATGATTATGGTGAAGTTTCATTCTTTCCAATATATGGTTTACTCATGAAACTTTCATTGTCCTTCTAAACAATATCATCATCATCATCATCATCATCATCATCATCATCATCATCATCATCATCATCATCATCATCATCATCATCATCATCATCATCATCATCATCATCATCATCATCATCATCATCATCATCATCATCATCATCATCATCATCATCATCATCATCATCATCATCATCATCATCATCATCATCATCATCATCATCATCATCATCATCATCATCATCATCATCATCATCATCATCATCATCATCATCATCATCATCATCATCATCATCATCATCATCATCATCATCATCATCATCATCATCATCATCATCATCATCATCATCATCATCATCATCATCATCATCATCATCATCATCATCATCATCATCATCATCATCATCATCATCATCATCATCATCATCATCATCATCATCATCATCATCATCATCATCATCATCATCATCATCATCATCATCATCATCATCATCATCATCATCATCATCATCATCATCATCATCATCATCATCATCATCATCATCATCATCATCATCATCATCATCATCATCATCATCATCATCATCATCATCATCATCATCATCATCATCATCATCATCATCATCATCATCATCATCATCATCATCATCATCATCATCATCATCATCATCATCATCATCATCATCATCATCATCATCATCATCATCATCATCATCATCATCATCATCATCATCATCATCATCATCATCATCATCATCATCATCATCATCATCATCATCATCATCATCATCATCATCATCATCATCATCATCATCATCATCATCATCATCATCATCATCATCATCATCATCATCATCATCATCATCATCATCATCATCATCATCATCATCATCATCATCATCATCATCATCATCATCATCATCATCATCATCATCATCATCATCATCATCATCATCATCATCATCATCATCATCATCATCATCATCATCATCATCATCATTATCATCATCATCATCATCATCAGCATGCTATTTTTGTTTTGTCTACTTATTTATTTATGAATTCAATCTATTACGTATAACTTCATCAATTAATATTTCACAATACAAAATCATGCGGAATTTATACTAATTTTCTGTATCTAAACAGAATGTCAATGACGTAAGAATAAATATTTTTGAAAATAGTCACAAAATCAATAATAGAGCATAATAATAGGCAAAGATGGATAGTGAAATCTATGACATGCGTTTCGTCCTATTTGAGACGCGTCAGCTGGATGTATCTGCATCCCGGATTTGATATTCATTCTGCGACTTGTAATCAGTACCATTCGCTTCAAACGCCAACGAATTATCCACAATACCAAGTAAATATTAAGTGTAATAATGTTTAGTATGACTTTAAGGAGGAAAATATTGTCTGTAAAATTCTCATTGATTTAACTTTAAGTAAATCCAACGTGTTATATTAATTCAGCTCTTAATCACTGTTAAACTATTCGTTCAAATTTAGATAAAAGTCTGCATCAAATTCATTATGACTGTTCATTATCACTAAGGAAGAATCTGTATGCGAAACAATAAAGTAAATAAGAATGTACAAAATTTAATGTTATCCAGCTAAAATTGAAAATATCAAATGTTGAATTTATGAGTCAATGTAAGCTAGACCACTATTGGAAACCCGAAAGTACTGGATGGTCGTTTCGTCCTAGCATTGGAGTCCTCAGTAGTGCGCGTTCACCATTTCGCATTTGGGACTCGAAGCCGTGATATTGGGTCTCACGCGTGAATGCTTGACCCCTAGACCACTGAGCCGACATCCAACAAAGTTAGTGTCTTTGAGATGATTTCATGGAATTCTGGTGAGAAGCCATGAACAGTGGACTGCGATCCCTGTCGGGTAGTGACAGGTATCTATCTCAGACAATGGATGAACGGTTGCACAAGATCATTGATCGATTAAAGTTATACATTAACACAGTTGGATGCCAGCTCAGTGGTCTAGGGGTCGAGCATTCGCTCGTGAGACCTAAGGACTTGGCCTCGAGTCATAAATGCGGGATCGTGAATGTGCACCGCTGAGGAGTCCCATACTAGGGCGAAACGACCGTCTAGTGCTTCCAGGTTTCCAATGGCGGCCTAGCTTACATCAACCCATGAATTCAACTGTTAAAATTACTACAATCTCTACTAACCCCCACTGCGGACATTAAATGGTGAATCTCAATTGAATGAATAAATATTCAGATTAACAGGGAGAAATAATCCAATCAAATGGTATATTATTCATTTTGGATTTAACGAGATAAACGAGGATCTTAGTAATAATGGTAATAGTAATAATGAAATTGTGTGGAGATAATAGTATTAATATAGTTAAAGAGGTGTTTTCAAGGTAACTATGATAAGGTATCCTTGTGAATTGGAAAAGACTGAATTATTCTAAAAATGGGTTTGATACCTACAAATCCTAGGAATTTACATTTTAGCGCTTCCTCACAGAGTGACTAAGTAAGGGTCTAGTAAAAAAAGAAAACAGCTCGAGATTGGCCTATTTAATGGAAACCGGTCATAGTGCCAGCATAAGCCAATCTTTTTCATTTATTCATCGGGTCAGCAATTTTTCACCAAAGCTTCTCAGATTCAAAATCCTTCAAAACCATCTGGATTACGAAACCGGAGTCAAGTGTACAAAAGAATTATCTTCAGGTGCTTCTACTGCCTTGGCCAAAGTCACGTCCAATTAATCAATAGTAATCTTAGCTATTGAATGACCGAATTTGACTTATTCACTTATAACCTTTCTTAGTCTTTGTTATCTCTATTATTATTATTATTATTATTATTATTATTATTATTATTATTATTATTATTATTATTATTATTATTATTATTATTATTAATGGTTTAACATCATCATTAATCTCCGGAATATACCATCCATTTATTTTGCTTTCATCCCACTTTATTACTTCTTACTAATTCCATATAAAGGGTTTACACATTACAGTTTTCCACTGAACCATTGATAGAACTTGTAATTGCACTATTATTTCTCCCTCACCCTATCTAATCCATATTTATTCTGATCATGGATCTTAACATTTTCATTTAACATATAAGATGAGTCAAGTGAACATTCCATATGGATCGTATCAACATGAATAATTTTATTGTATTTTGTTTGACAAACCTAAATTCACATGCTTTAAACGATGTACTTTACCCTTAACCTGATCATCTTTCGGATGATTAATTTGGATATATTGAATTGTAGGAATCTGAAGAGAATTTGTTGGAAAGTATATTCTTCGTTCAAATATTAGTCTTTTAATATAATGGGGATTTTTAAAAACTACATTAGTAGTTGGCGGATATGAAGGATACACAAAGGGTAGTTGAAAAACCCTGATTCCAAACTAATGGGGCACGTGAACTCCAGGATCCTGAGGGAACAAATGGCTTATGAATCTATTGTTGGTCATCGGCCACCATAGGACTGCATCTCCTGACGTTGCTCCACTGCCTTGTGAATTAGATCTCTTGATCAAAGTCTCCGGGTGTGGCCTCCTAAGAAAATCACCTGCTTTGATTTGGGCATCTTGACAATATCACAGCCCTTAAACAAATCAATGATAACTACTACTAGCCTCATTGTTAACGTGTGGCGCATATGTATTCGGTGCCCCCTTGTACCAATGTTTATGTGTTAAAATAAATAATACATTAGTTGTTGCAGGAACATGATGAATAACAATTCAAGATTGACAATTGTTTTGTTTCTGAACAAATTATTTGGATTGAATTCGTTTAGTAATCGATGTACGTAAATAAATACGTGATAATAGACCGGATCAGTTAAAGAAATGTAACTTATTACAAATTGATATTTTGGTTCAACTTGAAAATAAAATAAATAAAATTCATTCATACTTACCTGATTACACGTGTTACCCATCAAGGAGGACCCTTGACCACCCACCATCATTCGCCATCCAACCCTGTCCTGAGAAATTCTTTCCAGTTGCTATTCATCCTTTTCATGTCTGCCTCCTCGACTCAGTGTGTTTTTTAGTCTTCCACTTCTCCTTTGGCCTTGAGGATTCCAAGTGAGGGCTTACCTTGTGATACAGTTGTGTGCTTTCCTCAATGTGTTTCCTATCCACTTCCAACACTTCTTCCGGATTTCTTCCTCCACTCGGATCTAGTTTGTTCTCTCCAAAAATAAGCTGTTTCTGATAGTGTCTGGCCAATGGATCCGAAGTATTTTGTGCAGACAACTGTTAATAAACACTTGTATTTTTCTGGATGATGGCTTTCCTATTTCTCCGAATTTCCACCCCATACAGTAGAACTGTTTTGACATTTGTATTGAACATTCTGACTTTGTTGTTGGTTGACAGACAATTGTTTTAAGTTCCAGATGTTCTTTTTCTTTTTCTTCTTTTTCTTCAACAACAACAACAACAATCAGGTCTAATTATTTTTCTTGAAAAGAATCATTTTTCCTCTAAATATTTCTCTAATTTTAGTTTTGCTTTGAGGTAAAAACAAAAATTCCAATTTCCAAATGAATGAACTAAAACCTACTAAATATTGTAAAAATCATTAATCGGCGGAAAGTATTCCACTACTGGGCATGTTTATCAAAATATAGATAGAAGTTATATTGTCTGCTTTAAAACAGATCAAATTTGATTAATTAGAATCCTTTTGTGTGTGTGTGTGCGTTTGTTTCTATGCTTGTGTGTGTGTTTGCCTCTCCGTGTGTGTGTGTGTGTTTGTGTGTGTGATAATCTTGTTCCTATGTGAACTGATAAATATTGAAAGTAAGATTATAAATTACATAAAAACTATAATTCATAAAGAAAATCATTGAATCAAACAAATAAAATGTAATTCTCAATAGTTGAGATCATGAATCAATTGAAATTAGACTACCATGAAAAAACATCGAAGCACTAGAAGGTAGTTTCGTCTTATTGTGGGTCTATATAGCAGTGTACTTGGTGGTCTCGTTTCAATGGACTCATAATCTCAACTATTAAAAATTACTATGATATCCATAAAATCCCTTCTGATGATATTAATCAACATTTGCTCAATAGTGACGGTCTCCAAGAGGTATTTCCTGGAGTTCTAGTGAGAAGCAGTAACCAGTGAAGTTCAACTAGGTCTGTTGTGAGATAGTAACTCACTAATGACAATGATGGATGTGTCTCTCGATTTTGTAGATTAGTTGAAGTTAGATATTAACACTGTTTAATGCCGACTCAATAGTTTAGTGGTTAAGTGGTCGAGAGCGAGACTGACGGATCCTGTGTTTGAATCTCGTGAGTCGAGATCGTGGATGAGCATTGGTGAAGAGTCCCATTCATAGGACGAAACTGCCGTGCAGTTCTTCGAGGTTTTCTAAGGTGGTCTAAATTCAATTGACTCATAATCTGAACTAATGAAATTACTACAATTCCCAAAAAAGCTCTTCTGATAGAAATAGGATGTATTTTTTGGAGAGCTAAAACAGCAGATAAAATAGTCTAAATATTCCATATTATAAATTTTTATGCATTACGTTTGGTTTGTACAGGACAAGATTACTGAAGTTGAACAATGTATGGAACTCAAAACAACTGTTTGTCAATCAATATCAAAGTCACAATCTTCAATATGAACGTCAATACAGTCCTAATGTATGGAACTGAAACGTGGAGAACTACCACAACCATCATCAAGAAGGTACAAGTATTTATAAATAGTTGTTTACTCAAGATACTCAATATCAGCAACAGCCTATTATGGAAGAGAACAAACCAGCATGCATATGAAGAGGAAATTAGGAAATGATGTTGGAAATGAATAGAACATATATTACGCAAATCATCAAACTGCATCACGAGTCAAACCCTAAGTTGAAATCCTGAAGGCCAATAGAAGACATTATGTCGAGAAATAGAATCAGATATGAAAAGAATAAATAACAACTGAAAAGAACTGGAAAGTATTGCCTAGGACAGAGTTAGATAGAGAGTACTGATTGGCGATCTATGCTCCTTCACAAGGAGTAACAAGCATCATTAAAGAAGTAAGTAAGTTTATTTTAAATAATTCTTTAATTAACATTACTTTCTGATTGTACAATGACATAAAGTCTTAAACTAGAACAATATTACTACTTAGTATTTCATTAGTTTAAATAATTCATTAACTCATGTTAACAATGAACAATGTTTTTCTTCCCAAACTATATACACTACTTAAATAGAATTACTTTAGTGAATTGATTGAATAGATAAGTAATAGATTATATGTATTACAGTTTTGCAGATAGATAATTCCATTGTTAATAGTAGTTGGTAGTTCATTATGAAGAAGAATTACATGTATTTTAGAATACTAATAAATCAACAAGAATAGATAGTGGTTTGTTCCAGTATGTCTGTTTGTTTGTTTGTTGAAAGATAACAATATTTCATATGGCTTCCACCTTTCTGGTAATATATATAACACCAGTACATAGAGAATACAACTGAATCTAACAGTTTGTATCTACCGCGTTTTTCTTTGTTTTTTTTTGTTTTTGTTTTTAGTTCTACTATTCCATGTTGCATGTAAGATGCACATCTAAACAATGAAGTTATTTATTGCTATTTCATAGCACTTGATGAACAGTGGACATCTAAAGTGATATTTTCTTAAATAGAGTATTGCAAATAACTTCAATTTAAGTTGTTGGCGTAATAATACGTAAAACAGAGATAAGGAATGTTACCAAGGGTTACAAGAAATTAGATATGACGTCAAATGGGCAATACACACGAAACGTCATAATGTTCTTATCAACCTAAATAATGATATACACATATATGTGACATTTCGGTGAGACTATCATTTACTAAATGAAATATCATTATCAACACTGTCATTTTATCAATGAAGTGACAAAAATTGTGTGGAGTATTCAGTATTTAGTTGTAATCAGAGATCAATTTATTTATCAGAATTCATCAAATATACTATGGATCTATTTCAAGTTAGTTAATATTTAAAATTTGTATTATTGAAGATCAAGGGAATTACGGAAAAGGTGTTGACTGGATTATGAACACCTCGACATCTGAGGGAAAACATGGAATACAATGGACAGCTCAGAACCAATTAGACGATTTGGACTTGGCAGATGACCTAGTCCTTCTATCGCATAAACACCAACAAATGCAGATGAAGACCACTTGTGTAGCAACAACCTTTGCATCAGTAGGCCTCAACATACACAAAAATGAAAGCAAAATCCCCAAGTACAACATTGAGAACACCAGCCAACCCAATCATACATGATAATCAAGAAGGGTCGGATGCAAACGTAAAGGCGAGAATTGGTAAAGCTAGAGCAGCAATCCTACAATTGAAGACTATATATGGAACTCAAAACAACTGTTTGTCAATCAATATCAAAATCACAATATTCAATGTGAACGTCAAGACAGTCCTAATGTATGGAACTGAAACGTGGAGAACTATCACAACCATCATCAAGAAGGTACAAGTATTTATAAATAGTTGTCTACACAATATACTCAATATCCATTGGCCTGATACCATCAGCAACCGCCTACTATGGGAGAGGAAAAACCAGCTTCCAGCTGAAGAGGAAATTAGGAAAATACTTTGGAAGTGGATAAGACATACGTTGCACAAATCACAAAAATTCTTCACAAAGAAAGAAAAATGAAAGAAGATAGATCATGGAGCACATTGTGTCATGTACTGTAAGCAAACATGAAAAGGATGAATAGCAACTGGAAATGACTTGAAGGAATTGCGCAAGACAGAGTTCGACGGTGTATGTAAAATATAAGTATAATGTAACATGTATCCGTCAAATAATTTGAAAATTTATCTCTTGCCCTCTTCTCATTTGCATATATTGCTAAATTTTCCATGGAGGCTGTAATAGATCGACCGCTGAATTAAGAACATGTAACAGGAATATTTAACATTATCCCAACATGTTTACATTGTTCATTTGAACTCATTCACAGCATTAAAAATAACATAAATTTCTAAAATAATTAAGCTCGATTATTGAAACTTTCAGTATATTTTCATTTTCAAGAAAGAAAAAAAAGAAACAAACTTGCCAGACTTAAATAAGTAACTGAGAAGATATTGTCTATCGGAAATACTTGATATATCCCGGTGAGAATAATGACTGGTAACTGTCGGAGTCCATTTCTCGACTAATAATATACGTATACTCTTATTGTATAATTATTAAATGACTAAAATAATCATATTCATGTTCCTCTAATTATGAGATTTATTATACGATTACTATACGATTATTATACGATTTACCATTATTGAGTTATACCCTGTATATCAACTATTATCTCCCATATTCACAGCCACAGTTGGGTAAATCTTGTACAGATGTTGTTTCATATTTTATAGCAGGATATGGTCTGCATGGTTGGCACATAAACCCAGTATGTTTGAACTAAATGATTGATATCGCAGCGGCTGAGATTTGTGTTCTGGACTCAACAAACAGGGCTAAGCAGGAAGAAGAACCTATAAGAACCAATAGACTGCTCGTACAGGTATTATGCGTCATTGGTCCGGTCGATAATTCATTGTTCTCTAGTTGACAGTATCATTAGTTTATACATTGATAGGTGCAGAAACCCACAGTTATAACTCAATATAATTTTTTACAAACAATTTGATGATACCTTTTATATAAAAAACATAAAATTAGACCAGAAAAATGAGAAAAATAGACGAAAAAACAATCAAGTATTAAGAGAAAACGAAATAGATCATAATGTAGTGGCTTAGCTTCGTTAATTGATCACCTCGATAACCATTATAATATCACTCTCAACGTTGATTAAAATCAGAAAGCAATGAGAAGCGGCAACTACAGTTTATTAACAGATAGCACAGATTCCAAAGCTA